CCGGCTCTGCGCTTCTGGGCCGGGCTGCGGCGGCAGAGGCAGCAAAGCAGAGAGGACGCGGCGGCGGCAGCGGCGGCTGCGCTCCTGGTGGGTGGGGGGAAGGTGGCAGAGTTGAGACCGCGCCCCCTCCTCCAGTCCCCGCCCAGTCCCCGCCCCTGCCCTTCCTGGGCCCGCCCCCTGGGCCGCGCGAGGCTTGAACTTGGGTGCTGGGCTGGCCACGAGAGGAACAGTTAAGGGGCTGAATGGGGTTGGGTTCAGAGCAGATGTAGACATTAAAGGCAAAGATGAGGGAGCGATTTACCAATGGAGAGGGGTTCCTAGCTCGGGGCTTACGATGACTCTTGATATCATTGCAAAAAACCCGTTCGCGCACCTTGACTCACCTACCTGAGACCTATAAAAACTGCTGATTGAATGTCTATCACTAGCAATCTCGAAAGTGTGCTCTGTTGCTATACTCACAGGAATATGTGCTATACTCACAGGAATATCTTCCTTCTGTAAGAAGGGCTGGGAAGACCTAGGATGAATTGGCATTGGTACTGGGAGCGGTACCCATCTGCCCTTTCTGGTAGGGCACAACAGATGGTGAGGGCCTGGCCTGTGAGAGGCAGGTACTGGCAGGCAGGTAGGAGCCAGGCAGGGAGCAGCAGGTTGTGGCAGGTCTAATTGGAGTGAGGAGAAGCAGTAGGCAGTGGGGAGGAGACCAGGAGCACAAGGGCACCTGAGCCCAGCCAGCAGCAGAAGGAAGCAGGGCCCTGGAGATGGGTGACAGACTCCAGAACTGCCAACCAACACCGTCAGGCATAGACAGTCCCTCTCGAGATGACATAACCATGGAGTGAGGAAAGTGCTATCAAATTTCCCTATTCCTAATGCCTATGCCCAGAGTATTCTGTCCTTAAGGGTACACTGTCCCAGGAGGAGGGTGGAATAGAGACACTCACTGTAAGCACATCAAGGTTAAGGTAACAAGGTGAGGGAGTGGCACCAGGCACCAGATGGGTTGAGGCTCCTGGGACAATGCCCCACCCCTGTTTACTGTGCACCAACCAGGCAGGGACAGGAATGCTAAAGGCTGGGAGTGGTGTAGAAATGAACAGGGTGTGTACAATCCATGTGTCACTGTGTATGCTTATCTGGTCCTATGTGTGCAAGAGCATGTGTTCACAGAAATAAAGCTTTGCACACCCATCTGTTTGTGGATTTGCAAAAAGGAACAGTAAAAAACACAATTTTGGCTAAGAAGCTGAAATAGAGATCCAAGTATCAGTTTCCTGGACTCCCTTTTTTGGATATCCCAATATCCCTGGGGTTAAGAGGGGAAACTGGCTGGAGTGGCTTGGAGCTCCCCAGGCATTTCATGAACCGAATAAGAAGAGGGGAGGGCTCCACTCCCAGCACATGCCACAGTTACCAGATTAAGCTGGTTGCCTTGGTAACGTCCTCTCTGGGCAGGATTTGGGATTGTCGGTTAGGAGGGGAAAGGAACTGGGGATGTGGAGGGTGTGGGGACTACAAATAAAAGGGTCAAAGAGACTTCAGGAAACTGAAAGCTTGGGGAAAAGGACCCTAGCACCCTCCAACTACTCAAGGATATCAAGCATAGACTAAGTTCAAGACCTTGAATCAGAGAGGAAAGCCAGCATGGAGTCATGGTCCTCCTAGAACAGCAGTGGTTATCACCCCAACTGCCCATTGTAATCCAGGGAACTTTTCAAAAACTACTGTTGCCCAGGCTACACCTCAAATCAACTAAATCAGGTCTCAGAGATGGGGCCAAGGTTCATGGTATTTTTTTTAAAGATCCCCCAGTGATTCATACAGCTAGAGTTGAAAATCACTGCCCTAGGGGGACAACCCAACCAAGTGGGCTACAGATGCTGGGAGACAACTTTGTAATTCCAACTCTTCTGCTGTTCTGAGTCTCCCGCAAGGCCTGTGTGTTGACCCGGTGGGGAGGGAGGATTGTTGGCAAGGTATCTACACTCTGTGATGGAAGGAATGGAGGGAGGGTGGTATGATTAACACCTGTGAGGAGATAGGGGCAATAGAGTTTGGGAGCTCAGCCAATGAACTTCTGGAAAGGGACAGGGCAGGGCTACTACCTAAGGTTGATCTTTCTGCCCACTGAGAGGCAGGCTGGGAGGGCAGAGAACCTGGGGGCTTTGCTGAGCTTGAGTTTCTTCTTGCTGAGCTGGTTACCAGGGCAACACAGAGAGCAATGGGATCTAACTGTAGGACTGGAGAATCAAGAGGCAGGGGTGAGGGGCAAGTATCTTAACAGGCTCATCTCTCTTTCCAGCAACCCACCCCTCAAGGCTAACTGGTATTCTTTGCATGACCCCAGATCAGGCCCACAGTCACCCATCACCCTGCAGGGAAGAAGGGAAGCAAACTGACATGATTCAAAGAGCAATTAGGGATGGGGGAAAAGTCATGGTCCTCTAGCTGTAGCAGCAGCACCAATGGGTATAGGAGGGGAAGTCCCAACTATCATTTTAAGATACACAATGATGACCATGCCCCATGTATCATGTACAAAGATTTGTGGGACCCAAGGACAGATGCTGCCAGATCCACACTAAATTCAATTGTTCCCCCACACCAGGGATAGCCTTTGCAGTCAACTTGCACACCACCAGGATCTGGAAGAGGAAAAAAATCAACTCAAAGTCAGCTACCAGGAGGCCTAGGTAACTGGCAGCATGAGCCAGAGCAGGTCCTTTAGTTGGCCCTCTTCTTTACCTGTGCTAAGATTGACAGGAGCCCTAGGCTGTGGTACTTGATACTTCAGTGCCAGCGCAAATCTTACTTTTCAAGAAGATAACCAGAAACTGACACATAACTGACTGTACCTCAATAAAAAAAATAATTAAAAAAAAAGATAGATAGCTAGCTAGCTGCGTCTTCCCCTCATGCAGGACCTGGTACAGTTTGTATTGACATCTGGTGCATTACCCTGAAAAACGTACTTGCCAAACACAAAGGCATAAGGGATACTAGATGTTCCTGTGGGTAAGCAGCATTTCACTAGTTTTTCTGCCCGTGTCTATGTGGCAATGTGATTAGGAAAACTGATCAAAAGTACGGTCACTTGTGGCCTCACAGGGACTCCTCACCTCTTTAGGCTTCCATTTCACATGTCTGAGCTGGCTTGAATTGTGACTGTGACTCTAGGGGACTGGGGAGTCCTCTTCCCTTCCTCCCAATCAAGATTCATGCAAAACACTGGCAAAGGAGCCAAGCTTACATGTCTAAATTTTATTATCTCCAAATCACAATGCCAATCACATAGGTGCACCCTTTAAAACAGTAACAAACAACAATACACATGGAGAAATTCTTGCAACACAACACAGCAGACCAACAGAGACAAATGTCACAGTGTCTTAAGGTCTGGGAATCTGGGCACGCTGCCCACTGGCTTGAGGAGACATCTTCAGGTTTAAGGCAAAGGGAACAGCCTACACAAAAGGCACAACCACCAGCTACCCCTGGAAGAATCTCTTAGTTATTTCCTCCTTAGGGGGTTATAGTTTGAGTGCCTCTCTCCCTTCCCCACCCCACACCTGTGACTCAGAGTGGTTAAGCCAGCTGCTGAAGAGAAGAAACAGAATTAGTGACATGACTCGGGGAGAGACACAACTGCCACCTTCTCCCTCAGGTTTTATAGAAGGACAGGGACAGTGGCCAATTCACCCCTGGCAGATTCAAGTGCTGCAGTAACAGGAATCTCTTCCGCAGAGGCAGCAGGGGAGTGGTTCAGTGCCATAGACAGGGAGGAAAGGAGGGAGGAGCCCTTGCCCTGAAAGTGACTGTCTTCCTTAGGCTTTAAGCCCAGGGGTGGTATCTTCTGTTTGCAAGGACAGGAGTAAAACTTAGGGAAAATAAGGTAGTAACATCTAGAACACTTATAGCCGGAAAGACATGGAGAAGAGCAATTGCAAAGGACAGGGAAGAGCGCTTACTGGGTTTGCCTCTAGAGAGATGCATTGGTCCACAGCAACTGGAAAGGGGGTGTGGCAGATGGGATAGAAAGAAGAGCAGAGCCCTCAAATGCCACTTACCTCAAAGACTGAGCCCTGAGGACTGTGTGAATACACACCCCTAAGGTGCAAAGGCTCTCACTCCACCCTCCCTTTCTCACTAAAGCATCTGGTTTGCCATCTCTCCCCACTGTTGAGACTCTGTCTTCAGTACAGAACTGAAGCCTACCAGAGTACAGAGACAGATGGAGGCTCAGAATCCTAAAAAATTCAGTCAAGAAGAAGGGCTCCTATCGCATTCATTGAGCTTTTCTCCACAATGGGACACTGTGCAGACACCTATGTTTCCACAGGGTTAGACGAGTTAAGAGAGTCCAAGTATACAATAATAAAGGCCAACCAAAAATGAAAGGTCAGCTCTTTGTAGACTTGGTGGGGGAAGACTGGTTGGTAAGTTCTCAATTATTTGGGATGCAGGGAAGAACCAAAAGAGAACTCAGAGGAGCTAGCAAACCAGAGAATGAGCTTGTTTCATTTAAAGGCAGAGAGAGAGAAAAAGAGAGAAAGAGGAAAACTAAAAGGATATCAATTTAACAATAGCAAGCCAGGCTTTAAAAACAAACATCTTAGAAAACAAAACAAACAGGGAGGAGCTCCCCTGGGAGCAGAAGACACTTGAAGTTCCCAGGAGGAAGTGAAGAAGAGCAAAAGATGTGGGCTCCTAGATGGAGACATGGGAGCCCGGACTGTCCAGATCTCTGCTCCTCTGAGCACAGCCAACTCAAGTAAACACTGGAAATGGGAGGAAGTCCACTGGTTTCTCCCTTTCTCCAACAGAGCCTGTCCTCAGAGGAAGGTGGGGGTCCCCCTCACTCAGCTGCTTGCTGGCAGGAGCCACCCTGGATCTTTGAAGCCCTCTTGGTAGTGACAGCTGTGGTATTCTCTTCTCTTCTGGGTTCTCACCTCTGCTGTCCTGACAAGGGTGGGAAAAAAGGGAAGAGCCACCAAAGTGTTAGTGGACCTTTTGGGCATTTACGACTTAGTTTCAAAAAGCTACATTTCTAAAGAACGTATCTTAAAGTAATATCCCTAAAACAAAACAACACAACAAACCCCCCATGGTCTCTCCCCTCCATAACCTTTAGAACTGGCTCTGCTGTAACACCTCAAATTTAGATTTCCCTTTTCCTTAATAAAGAATGCCCTTCTGCATTTTTTCCTTGCAGCTTCCCAAATGAAATGTAGCCAAATTAAATAATGGTTCTACTCAACCTTGCTCTATCCACTCACAAAACAAAGAAACAGGCAAATTTTGGGATTCCTCTAAGCAACCCCCAACCCCGAGATATCCCATGATTACAACTTAAAGCATTAATTAGGTGACTGTTTGTTAAGCAAGTAAGCATGAATATTAGTTTTAAAATGTTCTAAGAGTCATAATAACTTGTATACTTACTTTTATATGATGCTAGATTTTAAATATTCAGAAATTCATATTAACTGGAACCCCTGCTTACAACCTGAAATAATAAAGTTGGAATTTGTTAGGTCATTACTAAAAAATTTGTTAGGTCATTACTGAAAAAAAAAAAAGAAAGAAAAAACCCCACCTTCCATAGAAATACACTCAGAAAAGGAGGATAATCTGAAGAGAAGGAAGGTCCACTTATGTAGGATGTGCCCTAAACAAGGGAAGCTCTCATACCTCAGGTGGTGGAGGCTTGATGGTGACTGGCTGGGGAGTCCTCCGGGGTGGGGAGGGCTTTGGCTGCACCTGCTGCTGGGCGGGGTTATAGTAGGTCACTCCTCCATATACCTGTGATGGGGCCTGGGACCCCAAAAAGCAAGAAGGAAAAAAAACCAATTAATTCATCCAAACTGTGATGAACAGGAAATATTATTCAGGTACCAAAGTAAGAGTATATGAAATTTTTAATTTTTAAAATCTTTAAGCTGCCCTCCTTTAAAATAAAGTGATCACTCATTTCTGCCTTAATATGTCCTAACATGCTTCCCACTTCTTCAAAGTACTGCCCAATTTTCTCTAATTCCTACCATCAGCTGACAAATGGAAGAGACTGAGCTCAGTGGTGACACTCCAGATACCAGATGGTGTCAACCTGTTGAGAATTAAACAGTACAGGGCGGGGAAGGGCTGGTAAGGAGAATACAGCTCCTTTATGCAGTTGAACAAACAGTAGACATGGCCACCTAAGACATACCAAAATACCTGAATGAAACACCATTAAAGAAGCAAGAGAATAAACACATGATGGGCATTACATAAGCTGCACTTCCAGCTCCTGACCACCAAGAGGCGTCCTGGCACCACATGCAAATCAACAGCATTGAAATGATTTCTCAAATTCCTTGAGCATTCTCCCTATACTACATTCCTGTCTGATTTTTTAAAGGTTGTGTACCTAGGCAAATCTCATTAGCCATCTCACCTGCGTGTTAGGATACAGATGAGGAGGTGGTGGAGGAGGCAGCGCCCCTGGAGCATAAGGGTAACTGGGATTACCAAAGTTCATGACGCCTGGAGCAGAAAAGTAAGTCGGAGCAAGCAACTGCTGAGGTGGTGGCTGTCCTGGAGACATGGATACTGGTGGGGGATAGAGGCCTGGATTAGGCAGAGGCGCCGGTGTCTGGTGGGGATGTAAACCTGGACAGGGAGAAGAAAACAAAATTGAAACAGAAGATAATACCATTTCCACAGGATGGTCTGGCTGGACTGCTCAGCACAAACAGGCTCAGGATGAAGTCCTCAGGATGGACCCAAGAGGAGTTTGTTGCCCAAGCAGCCAAAGTGGCCAGCCTCATAAGCAAGCAGCGCAGAGCTCAGGAGGATGGGGTTTGTGAAGCTCCCAACACACATCCTCATGTACTGGAAGCATACAAGCAGAGGTGCAAAGCTTACCTGGGTGGGGAAGGTGCATTTCTGGCTGCACAATCATGCCCTGAGGAGGCAGTGGGGCAGGGCTGTCACCATGGGTATAGATTGGTCCCTGGAACTGCACTGTAAGATATCACATTGGGACTCTCATAAACCCTCACTCTTCACATCACACAGACAAGTCTTCTTGTCTCCCAAACCCTTGAAAAGATGTTCTCAATTTTCCATGTGAAGAAAACAGCAACCAGAGAATGTTTGTTAATCACTGTAAGAGGTGAGACAGGGAATTCAGGAGGCAGGAGGCTGGTCTCTTAGTTCACTTCACCTGCCAAGAAAGGTACCCCAAAATAAGAATAAACTCACGTGGATCATAGTAATGTCCCTCCATGATACTGATGTGTACAGGAGGGGCAGGAGGCTCTGGCACAGGTCTTTGCCGTTGAGATGAATAGCGTTTGGCTCGCCCACCCTGGACACCCTGAAATAAAGATAGATGTCTGAACAAGAAGACTTCCAAAGGGCTGACTCTCATCAAGTTCCACCCTCCTTTAGGCACTGCAAAGCACTTACTCAGTAATGACAGTGTTAAAAAAAATGTGCAAAATGAATTGAAAAACCAATGAAAAGCATCAAGATCTAAACCGAGATAGTACCCTGTATTTCTGAAGACCCAAGTTAAAAGAAACACAGGAAACATGGGAAAACTGATTCAGTTTAAACAGTGAGCAAGCTGTGACATGCAACCCCCTACATCTACCCTTTTCCCCCCTTCTGTACCATTTCTTCCATCCGGTTAAACTGAGGTGGAGGTCCTGCTCCCATGTGCATGTGGTTGGGCATACCTGAAATATACCAAAAAAGTCACCGCTGCAGAGCGGACAGATATGAATGGGACTAAAGATACCATCAAGAAAATGACAGGTTGAAGAATCCAACACGGGGAATAGCTTTCTTCTTTTAAACTAACAAAATTCCTTTTAAACTATCTCTGCTTCCTATCAATACCAGCATTTGGAAATTTACCCCCGCTGCCTGCCACCTTGATATAGCAATAAAGCCTTTGAACATTAAAAAATTACTTCAGTGAGAAAATTGCAAGTTCAAAACTTCCCCATTAAATACTTCCCTGTACAGAATTCCTGGGAGGTTATCATTAGTACATTAGATTATCAAACACATTGAAAAATCTCAGCCCTAAAGTTTCGGAGCAACAACTAGACAGGGGAGGATGTTCTAAATCTACCTGATCATTCCTGCCACAGAGGTCTGGGCTAGGAAGTATGGGAAGAGATTCCCCTCTGGCTGAAGGAACATACAGGACAAAAAAGGAATGTCCTAGAGACTATCTTCCAGTGATAAGGCACTGGCAGGAGAGTGAACTCCTCTATCCAAAGATCAACTCCAGGTCCAGTTCAGACTATCTTCGTTTTTGGTGTTCAAAAATCACGCACACCAGAGAAGGATGCTGAAATCCCCAGTCCAAATGAGGAATTCCAATCTTTAAGTTCGAATTAGATGTCAAAAACTAAGGAAAAGGTCCTTTGATCTCTCTGATTGGAAGAAGAAAAAATGAATGGGCAAGAAGGGTGGGAGATAGGTCCTAGTCTCCAGCATTGTGCTGTCCAACATGATACCCACTAGCCACATGTGGCTATTTAGATTTCAATTAATTAAAAGTTCAGTTTCTCAGTCACTCTGTCCACATTACAAGTATTCAAAAGCACCATCATTACAGAAAGTTCTACTGGGCATCTTGGCTCTAGAAGATTGAGGAAATTTGAGAGGCTTTCCTTTCAAAGAGATTAGAAGATACTCATCCAAATTCAAATGCAGCTTCTGCCTTCAAACATTTAACCATTAGCTCAAATAATAAGAACACTGCCTTCTTCTACTTTTTCCACAGAGAGTGGTAAAGGGTTCTGCACTCAGGAGCTCAATATTGATGACTGACCAGTTAATAGTAAGCAAAGTAGTGGGGTAGTCTTGCATAATAGATAAAATGGCTCTAGGATCTTTGGATGAATGTATCTATGAATCCACCTGTTTCTTGTAGTTAATGAAAATAAAGATATCATCAGACACCACAACCCTGAGAGACTTAAGTCCCATGCCCCTAAATCCAATGATGCAAAGAGAATAAAGCTAGTCACTAACCCTAAGATACCTACCCCGAAGCTCACGTGACTGCAGGAATGAAGGCTGCCCTGGGCTCCAATTCTGTTCTGCTATATTTAGTTGTGCCACATCTTGTTCAAGTCCACCTGTAGTAGAATCCACTGGGGCCTCCCAGTTCCCAGTCTTAGCAGGTGGAGGAGGGGTAGTTTCTGGGACTGGAGGTGCTGAGGTCAGCCCTTCAGGTGGAGGAGGCACCTCCTCTGCAACCTTGACTGCATCTCCAGCTTTGATTCTGGTTCTTCTTGCCCGGGAGTAGGATTTCTTCTCAATAGGCCTGTCAGGGGCCGGTGGTGCAGCGTCAGGAGTAGGATTTGCTATCTCCGGAGCCGCCTCTTCCTTCTCAGGACTGCCAAGCACTTGAGCATCTGCTTCTGGAGATGGATCCCTGACAGGAGTCTGCTCCAGGCGCCGGGACCGGTAACTAGTCTCATGTTTAACAGTCTCACCAGACCGGCCAGCATGCTGTCCACCAGCTTCCACAGATCTAAAACCAGCACGACCTTCCTTGAAGCCCCCAGATCGAGAGTAATTCCTGGGAGCAGACATGCGGCCAGTACCTGCAGCATTCCTGTTGATAAATGTCCTCGGTGGTAGGGTGCCCCCAGGACCCTGGTGGCGATGGGACTTATTTGGCCGCTCACCAATCCAGTTTGGATCTCTCTGTGGAGGACTTCCAAACCTGAACAAATGGAGAGTGGAGAAATAACAAGTAGGGCCACTAGAGATATAAACTGAGGGTCACAGAAACTTCCACTATTCCTCATCCATTCAATTATGAGCTAGAATGGCATTTCAAAAAGCAGAGTTTTTTCCTGCAAATACCAACAGTGTAGGCTCCCAAATTTCCTCACCTGGGTTTCCGGATTCTTCGGGGTTTGATGTCATCAGGATTGTGAGCTGAGCGGATGTCATAGCCATAAAGAGCAATGAGCTCCTGGCGGGACTTGGGAGCCTGTTCATCTTCCCGAAACTTGTCATGCTCCCAGCGACCCTCATCCTTCCATAGCTTTCGCTGACGTCCCTTGGGTCTGGTTAAAACCAGGGAAAAGTGTCTTAGGTTGGCAGATTCTGCCAAATAAAGATGTTCATGAAATAAACAGGGCTGGGCAGGGAAACAGCAGGAACGCAGGTAGTCTCTCCATCTTCCTAGACAGGTTATACAAAACGGGCCTTCCAAAAGCAAGAGGGCATCACAGCACCCTAGGGCCCATGGGCTCAAATTTAACAGAAACAAAAATGAGGAAAGACTTCACTTCAAACTACTTGGCACTCTGGAAACACTTCTCTCCTCTAAAATACCTGTGTAAGTATTTCATATCCCCAGAGGCCTTGAGCCTCAGAGTACTTAGGAAGGCAGTGGAAGTGTGGGTCTGGATCCCAGCTCCTCCACTAAGAATTACTAAATGTGCTAAGCCTTACTTTGCTCATTTGTACAAGAGGGATAATCATAATATTTACCTTAAAATGTTGTGAATGGTAAATGAGACAATACAGGTGAAGCATTTAGCAAAGTGCCTGGCACAGCAAAAGCACTAAATACATACTAACATAACTAACATATTGCATAGCAGTAGCAAGTGGCTGTTACCTGACTTCCTCCTCCTGAGTCTGCCCTCGAAGATCATGCTCAAAAAAGAGCCCTTTCCGGGGTATGTATGCTGGGTTCTTCCGATCTTCATCATCATCCAAATGCTTAGGGCCCTTTTTACCGACTTTGTTCTCCACAGGCTCTGTGCTTTCCTGTTGGACAGAAAAAGGGCTCCTTATTTACTCCAAGGTTAAGAGCCTCTATTCCAGAACCCAAACGGAGGCCTCTGGTGAGTACTAACCTGTCCATCCCCACTTTGCCTCTCTCCAGTCACAGTGCCTTTGCTGTCAGGCTTTTCTTCTCCCTTCTCTTCTTTTGCTGAAGAATTAGCAGCATCATTGGCTTCTGATTTCAGCTCCACTTTGGAGTTTTCCTCTTCACTGTACTCCCCTTCATCACCCTGAAAAAAGTTTCCCTGTCAGCCATGGAGGTAAGATCTGAACAGTGCATTTTTAAATTTTCCATTCTTTAGGAAAACATCTAACAAATTTTACTACAATGTAAGAATTAAAAGTAAATGTATCAATATTCTTACTAAAGTTTCTACAGAACAGAAGCATTGTTAAAATAGTAAAAAGCACATTTAAAAATATATATATATATACATACATGTGCTATAATAGATCCCTGTGGGTTTTCCAGGAAGATATGCAAGGAACTGTTAACAACGGCAGCCTCTTTCACTAAACTTATCATGATAATCATTTCATGATGTTAAGTCAAATCATTATGCTGTACACCTTAAACTTATACAGTGCTGCATGTCAATTATATCTCAATAAAACTGGACGGGGGAAAAAAACACAGTGGCAGCCTCTAGGGAAGGAGCCCAGGGGATATGGATGGGAGGCCTTTAAGTGTCTAGTATACAGAAGGAGCTTTATCTTCGTCAATAATTTCTCTCTCTCTCTCAGTGAATTGTCTCTTAAACATGCAGGGCCTAATAACTATACTCAAACTCAAGTTGTGAATACTCTCATTTCAAAATGGCCTAGAGCAGACATTCCCATCCTTTGAAACTATGTGAACTCCCTTTTAGGATTTAAAATTTTCATGGATCCCCATGAGACTATAGCTCAGTATAGTATCCACTGACTGAGAAAACATGTAATGACAAACAACTGCTAGACATTCAATAATACTTTAAAATACATTTGCATTATTCATTAATACATATTCAAAGATAGTGGTACATAAAGGTGGGAGGTGTAGATTTAGTCTATAGATAATGAGAGTAGAGCTAGTGAATTTGCAAATCCTTTTAACTCCATGATTTCTTGAAGCACTATTACCCTCAAGTTGGAAAATAGTGGCTTACATTTTGATGTCTATGATATGAATACTAATTTTCTGCAGCATGAGAGTCCCTTAGCCCACAACTCTGTTCAGAATGACAATCATAAAATTTTGACTTGGAAAACTTTAGAAAAACTTGTACAACCATCACACCTTAAAAATGAAAAAAATTAAAGCCCAAGTGCTCTCTCCTCTCCACCTTCTTGCCTGTCTTACCAAATCAAGACTGGATAATCCAATCAACTATATTTCAATTTTAAAAAGATTGGATGATTGGGGGAAACTCGGTGAAGAGTACACAGGACCTCTCTGTACTTCTTTTTAAACTTACTGTGAATCCGTAATTATTTCAAAATAAAGCAATAACGAAAAATTTTGGGAAAAAAAAAAGACTGGATAATCCCAACATACAGAAAGTGTTGGGTCTCCCCAAAAAAGAAGGATCCTTAGGGCATACTCTAAATAGGGGCCACTAGAAAAGACTGGGTAGAAATCAATTACACTTCAACTGAAAAATAAAAAAGGGTTAGACAGTAGCGGTGTGGCTACTTCTAGGCAGGGAAAAGGAGCAGCTAAGGCTCATGTTAATGGGACTGGCTTTAGATTAAAGTTACTCTCATATCCTTGTCCTCTAAAGGCTTGGACCTAAGGAGGCAGAGCTATAGACTAGGGAAGTACATTTAGAGACCTGTAAGGACACAAAGTAATGAGTCCAAGGGAGGGTAGGGTGGTCTAGTTCCCACTGCTGGGTTAACATGTCACAGTACCAGTATACCTCTGCCACCTGGTAGGTACATGTACATTGGTCTCTTATTCTCCTATTGGGTCTGACCCTCAACCTGAACCAGACCGTCTCCTAACTCCAGACCCAGGAAGGCCTCAGGAATCTGGTCAAAGAGAATCACTGTGAGATTCCTGATGAAGCAAGCTCTCAAGCTCTAAGTTTCGGATCTTTTTTTGAAATAGGGTTGAGTCTGCCTGATTGATCCAAACAAGGCAATTAATAATTCCCCTTTCCCTTAATTTCCTACTCAGCATCAGGATATTTCAGCCTCTAAGTGTTTTGGGTTAGGATTCCTAGAAAGGTGATACTGTTACAAAACCCACAGAACTGAGGAGGATTGCCTGACCACGCCCACACTATGAGAACCAAGCCTTTACCTACAGCTTTTTAACAACCAAGTACCCTTGATTCTTTCCATTTTCCGTCAATCACAGTAAGTTTTCTCTCCTCTTGAGTCGGGGATAGGTGGGTGTTAATCATTTAGTTCTTTCCTTGGTCCTATGTTCCCTACAGGTTTTGTAGCAGAAATTGCAAGAATCTTGCTTGGTGTATAAGTGACCTCAACTCATTACTCCCCCCACCCCCTCCACTGACTGAATTCAAACATCTTAAAATAGTATCAGCACAATTAATGACAACTTTGTTTTATGCTCTATCCTCTCTAGTCTGTGGTGGAATGTCAAATGAGGCAACTCTTTTATTCCAAATGAGAATCTAATTTTGTTTCCAGGGCAGGACAGAAAGATACAAATGGCACAGTGCTGAGGAGACTCCAAATCAGAGTCAAAGTCTGGTCTCACTGAAGCCAAGGTGCTAACCTACGGTCAAGCCCCTTTGGCTATGGGCTGACATCAAAACCCTTTTTCAGGGACAAACTCTCCTACTGCTGACTCTCTCATTCAGTGAACACTTTTCCCAACTCTAAAGCCTAGCTCTCCTCTGAAGCAACTGCGTTCCTGGCAGAATTCTCATGCAGAGGTTTTAGCTCATTTTTCCACTCCCCACATATTGCAGAGTAGGAGGTAAAATTTGTATCTCCCTCATTCTCAGTGTCTCTAACTCTGCCACCACATTTTAAACTCCTGCTTCTCTGAGGCTTCTATCACCTAGCTATACAGGTATCCCCTGCTTTTTGAAAGTTCACTTTTATGAAAGACCTACATTAGTACCTGTTTTCATAAACTGAAAGAAATTTTAAGAGAATTTTTGTTGTAAGAAAAAAGGCAAAAGTGAAATTAGCACTCAATGTTTGTTTTGCAGTGAGCTGTCATCCAGGTAGCTCCGCACCCCAAGCAGAGAGCGGCACAGCCAAGCTCCTTCCCTGGGAGCTACACTCAGCCTCTCACCGTTAAGGTGCCACAGCTCTGAACCATGATTGTGAGCATCTGTGCTTTATCTCAATTTATTTTGTGCATCCCTTAGCAAGATGTGTCCTAAGGTCATTGCTTCTTAACTTTATCCATTTCAGCTTACGAAAGGTCTCACAGGGATACTCAAGGGGGAAACCTGTACCTCTGTGCCTCTGCCTGGGCCCACCCGGTCACTGACTTAAAGACTTTGGCAGTGAGTTCACAGTCTTCACCTCCACTTCAGTCATCCACTTCCACATACACAATCCAGACCAGTCTCACCTGGAACTGCTACACATTTTGTTAACGTAAACCTGACCCACTTTAAAAAAAACTTAAATTTAAATGCCCCAGACTTTGATCAAAACTGCCACATGCAAAAGAATGAAGTTAGACTCTTATGTTACACCTTACACAAAAATTAACTCAAAATGGACCAAAGACCTAAAATATAAGAGCTAAAACTATGAAACTCTTAGAAGAAAACATGACTTTTGATTTGGCATAAATTCAGCAAAAGCTTCTTAGATATGACACCAAACACACAAGCAACAAAAGAAGAAACAGATATACTGGACTTTATCAAAATTGAAACTTTACATGATCAAGAAAGCGAAAAGACTACCCAAAGAATGGGAAAAAGTATTTGCAAATCATGTCTCTGGTAAGAAACTTACATCTAGAATATATAAAGAACTCTTACAGCTCAATAATAAAAAGACAATCCAATAAAAAACAGACAAGGTATCTGAATAGCCACTTCTCCTAGGAAGATACACTAACGGCCAATAAGCACAAGAAAAACGCTCAAATCATTAGTCATTAGAAAAATACAAATCAAAATGAGATATCATTTCACACTGATTAGGATGGCTACAATAAAAAAATCAAGACAATAGTAAGTGTTGTTGAGTATGCGGAGAAATTGGTATCCCCATACATTACTGCTGAGAATGTAAAATGGTGCAGATGCTTTGGAAAACAGTTTGGCAATTCCTCAAACGATTAAACAGAGTTACCATATGACTCACAACTCCTACACAATTCCTACATACACACCCAAAAGAAATGAAAACATACATCCACACAAAAACTTGTACACTAGTGTTTACAGCAGCATTATTCACAATAACAAAAAAATAGAAACCCAATGTTCATCGTTGGACGAATGGATAAATAAAATGTGGTATAATCATACAACACAATATCATTCAGCCATAACAAGGAATGAAGC